ATGCACATGAACGCCATTTTTTCGCGTTACTGATACAGAATAACAGTGAAGATGGCAAAATGCGTGATGAAACTTCCATGATCTTAGATTATTTTCGATTTTAGTTGTGAGTGGATGTGGATGTTAGTGAGGGTACACAAAAGATTCTTAGTCAAGCCGATACTCACATCTATAATGAATTATCCATTTACTGTTAATTTCAGTTAGTTTCTTAAAATAGACAACCTTTGACTACAGTATTCAATGTTCAACCTAATATTATCATATTTTTATCATATGTTCACCTTTATTCTAAATACTTTATGCTGTAAAAACCATTATTGAACATGTTTTTCTTATTCTGTTCAATTATTGAGAAAGAAAACAATAAAACTAAAGATATATTTGACATATTTTTGCAAAGACTTTACATTGTATATTTGTATTTATAAAACTTCTCTTTGTTTTTAGTGTCATTATCGTTTGGTTCGTATGTTTCCATTATCACTTAAAAATAATCCATCAGAAATCGATTCAACACAAATATTAATTGAAATATCTTCTTTTCTTAAACAACTTCCATCACGTCGTTGGCAATCATCACCAAATAATGATTTTCCACTTCGTATTATTAAAACTTATCTTCAACAATTAGTCGATGAACGACAACGTTTAATTCTTGATGATTTATCACGTATACCCAATGATCAACAACCAATATCAGATGAAATGCGTCATTATATACATCGTAAATTAAAAGCAATAACTGTATCATCAACAAATAGTGAACAAGTAACTCAACAACATCAAATTATGTTAAAAACAATTTTTCAAAAATTTGCTCGTCGTGAACAAGTTAAAATTGGTTTAGAAGAATTATATGATTTTAAATTACGTTTTCCTAATGTTGATATTAATCCATTTTTGGCAACAACAGCTGATGCTTTTCAAAAATTTATACATGAAGGTTTAGCACGTGTACATGCTCAACGTACAGCAGCAGCAGCAGCAACAGCATCAGCTGCTACTACTACTACATCAACAACAACAAATTTACCATCACCATCTTCAACTATTCTTCGAGATAAAACACAAACAATAACATCTGCTCCAACACAATCATCACCAAATTCATTTTATTCACAGTATGATTTACTGATTATGAGTCATTTTAGACAAAATGGAACTTATCCAATTTTGATTCTTTATAAGATTTTCTTTATCTGTATGAGATCTTTTAGTACAGATATATAAAAATGTTAGCTCTTTTAGTTAATTATTTATTAGTTAAAAAGTAATTAGTAAATATCTTCTTAATCAAGAGAAAAGTATTTGAAAACTGCAGGTTAGATTCAACGGCGCAAATTACGTCTATGGGTAAAATTTTCAGTTAGATCGAAGTATAAAAACACTTTTTTTCTTTTTAAATAAAAACTGGTTCTCTAGAGATTCTGAAGAAGGATTTGTATATTCATATTCCATCATATCACTAACGAAAAATAACTTGAATTTTTTGAAAAATTTACGTATACGTAGAAAAAATTTTAGAAATGAGTTATTGTAGCCTTAGGAATTGTTTAGATTAAATTGTTAAAAATACTGTTTCAATTCGATGCTTCTTTTTTTAAACTAAAATTCATCAAGTAAACGTCGATGTTCTTTAACGCTAGTTTTTTTTCAGGTTATCTAGATTAACTTACCTTATATGTAACACATAAAATTTAACTCGAAGAAAATATATTAGAGAAATAAATTGTTTGTTGTTTTTTTTTGTTTTCTTAAATTAAGATATGCACAAATTCATGAAGAAAAATTACGTGCATTAAAAGAACAATTTGTTTGGATCGATACATTACCAACATCAACAAATATTGAACAACAAAAATCTATATCTGATGATGATTTTGTTACAATTTATAATAAACGTATGACAGCTATAAAAGAAAAATTTCGTGATCAACTTGGTAATACATTTGCATCATCATCATCATCAACACCAATTGATTCTCAAGTTTATGCACAACATCTTGCTCAAATGCGACAACAATGTGGTCTAGCTGCAACACCAATTACAACAGGACAGGTAAATTTGGTCTTGTTTTTATTTTAGTATTTTATATTCAATACTTTCTTTTTTTTGTTATTATTTAGGATCCATTTGATGCTGAAGTATGATTCCTTGTTTTTTTTTCTCTTTATTTTGTTGTATATAAGAGTTTGTTCTTATGAATTTGATTTAGTTGGAATCTCGTTTAAATAATGGTGGTACAGCAGCTAGTGGTGCGACTGGAGTAAATGCTCGATCAGCAGCAGCTGGACGATCAAATAAAACATCGGAACCTCAAGTAGAGCCATCTCCATCATTGTCAACTGCTATGGATCCATCAACACAACGTACACGTGAATTACTTCGTCAACGACTTGAACGTGTTAAACAAGGCATTATTGAGTGATCTATATTGTATATAATAGTTTCATGACATTCTTCTATTCTATTTTTACATAATTCAATTCTTTGGCTTGATAAAACAGACACATACACGCATACATATATATATAAATACACATATATGCAAAACACAAAATGATCTCATCTTGCTCTTTTTTTGTTCGATATTATTTACTAATATTCATTGCTGTTTGTCTTATGAAGAAAGTTTTCTTTTTTCTTTTCTTTTTTTTTTTTATTGTCATCTTCTCCTGTTAGCAATAAATTCTTAGGAGGATGTGTGCGCTTCAAATATTATCAAATAATAATTAACAGTAATATGAGCAGCTTATGATTCAAACATTCTCAGTTTTTGTATAAAATGAACTCATTTATTTATGCTGTCTTAATTCATGAATGATGTAAGTAACTAACTGTCAGTTACATAAAAGAATTTTAATGATAAAATTAATTACAATGTCAATAAATCAATTGAGTTCATCTCTTCGTTCTCTTTTTTACATATTGAAGTGCCCAAATATTATAGAATTTGATTTTAAAAAACTGCAACATTTACATGCTAGTAATGATAAATGTAGACTCTTTGATATTTTCATCATAGATATAAACGATTTAGATCTAATACCAGAAAAAATTTAATTGATTTCTCTTTACTCAAAGTTACGTTATTCAAAGTATACTAACCGTAATAGAATTTGTTTAAAGAGAAGATAAGAGTAGAATAGTTGGCTATGATATAAAATCACATACAAATATTTCTTTGAGTACTATTGCTCAATCATAATGGCTAAGAACTTGTAAAAATGTGTAATCATTCTTATCAGCAAGTACTAAATCACTCAAGAAGTTTAAGGCTACTTTACATGAATGGTTCATACAATATGAACATTTAATTTCTTTTATTATAGAATACTCCTAACTCATGTGGAATTAAAACTTTTCTTTTTATTGAAATGTAATCATGACTTTTCTCTATCTGTAATATGAAATTGAAGTATTAGTTCTTAATAGATTCTGAAGTATACTTATTTTACAATCGATCGTCATTGTTAAAGTTTGAGACTCTCTCCCTAAAAATACAAAAACTCGATTGAAGTATATTATTTTCACTTCAAAATTATACCAAATATTCCAGAATGTCTTTTGATTATTCAGACAAAGTATAAGATAGATATTGAGAATCGTCTATTCTAATATATTTTTCTGTATTTAATATCTATCATAATCATATAAAAATATAATAATGAAAATCTAGAAGAAAAATATTCGTACGTTATATATTGACAAGAAGATTTCACACGTATTCAAATTCCAAGTCATTTCATTTATTTTACATCAACGAAGGTTAAATTTCGTATAAGATCATCGTTTCTTTTTGCCAAAACAAAAGAAAAACCAGTGAGAGATGAGTATGGTGTGCAAGACAATTAAGATCCATACATTCATTCCTATATCTACAATAGTGCAATCCAACTTTAATCATGTGTTAATGACATTTTTATAAATAAATTTTCGGACGAATATCTTTTAATAATTCTAGCTTTTAATTTTTGTATATTTGAAAGAATTTTTATTTTTCGAGAATATTTATCTTTCGATATTTGTGTTTTCGATTATAACCTAGAGAATCAGAAATTTGTCACTAATAGGACTGAAATATATTACAAATTTTGTAAACGAATCGTTTTTTTCTAAATAATCTAATGACGATTGGAAAAGAAGCTTATTGATATTGTAAAAAAAACTGTCAATATAAAAATACTAAAAAGAATAAAATGAAGAATTTATGTTTTTTTTCTGAAATTCTATCAGTTTATTAGATTCATTGAACATTGTTATACTAAAAAAAAAACCTTATTTGTATCTTCAAATACATCTATAATACGTAGCTTCTTTTCTTCTAATGATAATATATACGATACATACCGTAGGAAGCGGTAAATATCATTTTATTCTGCATGTCTTCAGTTCAACTACCATATTAGCCTACTTGACACATTGATTTAATTATTCAGTAAATTTTCGATCACATCATTCTTTCGTACAACGAACTTTGACATATATTGTTAACTTTTCACCAATCTATTAATTGACATCGACGATAAGGTCTTTTTGCTGTATTAAATACCAAAATTCATCATATTTACAGTAATTAAAACCTATAGTAGAAATCTTAGATTTATTGAATGCTGCCAATGATTGTAAAAAGCTTCAGAATGATGTAAGTACTGATATTACTGACGTGTTTGTTTTTCATTGCTAAGAAAACATACCCAATAATCATTGACTTTCTTCTTCCACTCGTACTTACTAGGACCTAAGGATGGAAGTCACAACGATCTCAATTGGAACTTAAATTCACTACTTTCTTTGAACATATATGGGAGTTTAACAAAGTAGTTCTAAAGAAGTATTTGATCTTTCTATGAAAATCAAACCATATCAATACTAATTAGTTCTTCATATACGAATTCAACATTTCATTGGATCAATGTTATTTATATTTTTATAATCTAATTAGGAACAAATTATTTTTAAATAATATATGATTTGATTGCCTTGTCGTTTTTTTTTATTTCAAAATAATACGTAATAAAAAAATTCGTTTATAAAACGATTTCCAACAAACATGTATAAATCGTTTTACAATAACAATTACAAGCAAAATATATATTATTAATATGATAATCCTATCGGATTTTGTAAATGAACTTTTTCTTAATTTCTGTTGAATTTTATTTCCATGAATAAGATAAGTATTTGGATTATCATATAAAAATTCTATATTTGTTTCATTACAACTTGTATGCCAACAATTTTGAATAAAATCTGAAAATTGAAATTTATGCCAAAATTTTTTTCCTTTATCTGTATTTTTCAATAAATATAAAAATAAATCAAGATCATATCCAACTGATTCTTTCGAATCAAATTGTTGTTCATATGCAAAATATTCAATAAATTGAATAAAATTTAATGATAAATGATACAATGCATTTCCATTTATATGAAGAAAACGTTGTCCAATGGGTTGAAAACCACGATAAATTGATCCGATCATCCACCATTGTGTTGTAATATATGATTCTCTATCTTGACTATTGATTATTTGTTCAACAATAGCATCTAACCAATATGAACGAATTGGTCGTGTATCAGGTTCCATAAGAAAAAAATGTGTATAACCATAATAACGTAATGAAATATTACTAAATTGTTCATTGATAAATAATTTTTTCCACATTATAGCACTACCAAGTGGATATCGATTTTCTTTTTTCGATAAATCTGCAGCAAAAATTCGAATATTTTTAAAACACTTATTTGAATAGTTTATTTGACGAGTTATACTATCTAATTTTGATAATTTATTTTCATTATGATATAATATTAAATCAATAGAATTTAATTGATTTCGACATGGTGAATAAATTTTTTCAAAATTTAATTGATCAATTAAATTATTAAATTGACTTCGAATAAATGGAATAACAATAGCAAGATAAAATCGTTTTCGAATTAAATCAATATAATTATATTTACCATTATTATAATGATTAAAAAGTGTATTATTTATTAAAAAAAATTCGTTTTTAACATTTATTATTGAAATATTTTCTTTGTGTTTATATTTCAATGGAATAATTTGAATATTTTGATACATTTTTAATAATTTTCGTTGTCCAATAGTTAAACCCATATCACGTACAATTAACTGACTATTGTCAGGTGTATATCTATGAAATGAACCAATTAAATTTTCTAGATCCATAAATTGAGATGAATTACAACTTGTTTCAAATTTTAATAAAAATGAATTCACTAATGGAATTATATTAATAATTAAAGTATAAAAATAAAGCATGTCAAAACTAAATTATTAATCAAATCAACGTTTACTGAACATATCTAAACATAATATAATAATATAAAATTAGATTATGCAACACAAATTATTGTTTTTCCTATAAATTATCGTATACTATTGAAATAACAACGTGATTTAGTTTATGATGTTGTTAATAGATATCCTCTCTCTAGTTAAAAATGTAAACAGACAACTATTATCTTCCATTTTTATCTAAAAACTTGCAACAGTTATTCAACTAAATTCAAACACTAATGAGAAAAATTCTTTTTTTTTACGATTTTTGTCTACACTATAGACCTTGATTAATAATTAAATATGAAAGCTAAAGGAAAAGCTATTAGCGGAATCCCTGCGGAATTAATATGTCAAACATGATGTAGATACTGCTGTTAATCATAAGGAGATTATTTCATTCTATCTATTTAAAGTTATTTTAATATATGAGCTGCTTAGATGTTTATGAGATGATGAAGAAACGAGACCCATTCTCATTTCAGCTTTTATACTTTAACATTCCTTTTAGATCATGTTTCGCAAAATATTTAGTGAAAATATTTCATATACTCGTTTATCATAAGAGATCAAGAGAAAAGTCTTGATTTGAATTCCAGTTCAGGAAAAAAATAATCACTAAAGATATGAGTATTAGTAAATTATGTTAACATGCAACTTTTCAAATCGAAGAGAAACTATTTTCGACAAGACTTGTTCACCAACATTGATTTTGTATAAGTAATAGAAAAAAAGAAGACTGTCAAATTACATCTATCGATACAAAAATTCACAATAATATGTAAGTAAATCATTGAAATCTAACTGAAAAAGCTTCATGAATGTATTCGTCTATCACAATTATTTCAAAATATATTTAAAAAAACTAAAACATCGACGAACTCATGAGAAGTTATATTAGAAGTTGTACAGCATTGACCTTATGTTTATTAACGTTCATAAGCAGAATTATGTATTGGCTAATATATAACCAGAATACGCTTCTACGAATTTCGATTCGAAAATGATTAAACATCTACAAAATAAAACATGATTTCCTGCGGATTAGGTGATAAGAAAGCATGATTTAAAGTCATTTCGCTTCAAAATTTTGAAGTATGGCCTACAGATTTGTGAGTTATTTACTATCCAAATGTGATAAAATTATGATGGTAGACAAAAACAGACGATTATTCTCTTATCTCTTATCACTGCACCACTTTGCAGTCATAAATGCACAACAAATGATAGAACAAGTAAATTTTTCTGACAACATTCGTTCAATTTTAAAATTTTAAAAATCGAAATTCGTAACAGGCTACTCGAATTTTATATCAACAAATTAATTACATTTGTTTATAAATGTTAATGAACATATAATGAATATTGTAGAACTTTTAGGATAACTTTTTTTCTTTCATGCGATATTTATTTAATCCTCTACCCATGATAGTGCCTAAAGGGACATAATTTTTGAAAACAAGTTGCACATGAGATAGAGAAAAGCAAGCAGAAGCGGAGCAGAGAGCACAGAGCAGAATTATATGCGTGTCTTCTACGGCGGTTCAACATAACATTGAAATACGACCTTCCAACTTCGCACATACATTCCAGAGATACGACCGACACATTGCTTTTCAGTTACTGTATATGACGTTGTTCTAAGACATATTACTTGTACGATAAGGCTGTAGTCAGTATGCTTGTACGATATGGTTAGGACAATGTGCTTGTTTGGAGAGGAGGAATAGAATTTCGTACGCTCTAGTTCTGAATCAGAGACGAACCCCACTCGACTAGGGCTCCCATTTTAAGATAACTTTTCAAGCATTCTTCCATGCTTTGAAACATTTTTCTTATTTTAAGATGACTTATTACTGTGAGATTTTTTTGCATATTTGGAAATGATTGTGAGATTCTTAATGAAACATCTTGTAAGCACGATCTTATCAAGACTTTGAAAAAATGATTCTTTTGTGTATATCTTTATCCTATCAAATAAAACTGTACCTAAGATCTTTGCAAGATCTGTTCAAAGATTCTCACAAGACAAAGTCATACAAAAAGACATTAGTTGTGATTATTTTTTCCTAAGATCTTAAAGTAAAATAAAAAAGTGACATGATGAATTTATTTACATAAATAAATTCTTTAAAGGCTTTCAACTATGTTCCAAAAGTCAATCCTATTAACTTGTTGGTCTCATGATATGTAAGAAATTTTGCAATAGTGAGGGTACTTGTCAATTAATGAAATTAAAATAATGAAGAACATTTAGAAGAAAAAAAAGCCAGTTAAACAAAATTTATAAAGTATTGAGGGTGTGTTTTTATTAAAAACTGATGTTTTATTAGAACACAACTGATGTCAAGTTACAATACAAGATTGTTTAGAATTCAAATTTCCTCAAGATAGGGTTTTTATTGAAAAACGATGAAATAAAAAATTTTTTAAATTTTACTGTCAATGCTATCATTAATGCAGATGAATCATTTGACTTACTTTTTTTAAAGTGATTATTGTAAAATGATACAAAAATTGGAAATATTAAAATAATTTTTCTTCTATATTTATATATAAGTGTTTAACTTATCAAATAACTATTTCTTACATACAGGACCGTCAATATAATGTCACCATTACCATCTGATGCCTTGAACTAAAAATCAATATTGAATGATCACACAGCATCAGAGACAACAATTGTATATTGTCCAACAGCTGGGAATAATAATAAAACAGAATAACAAGAAAAAGCCTGAAGTTTAAGTCTTTGGCTACCGACAAAAGAGAAGGAAAAAACTATTTTGCAAAAAATTTCTTCGGTTCTTTTATAAAACGATTCTATAACGTGCCTTAATAAAATGGTGATTTTTGAAGTGCATGGTGCCCAACGTTTGTTTTTACGCAAATGCATCTGAAAACCGTACATTATGAATGATTACTTAATTCACGTAATGATGAAGCTCATGACATATATATTTGTCGGCGGTAGCCAAAGACTTTATCATTACGAAAAAATTAGACGTAAACATTAAGAAGCGCAGACGAAACCTGTTTGATTTGGCTGTAGTTTTCACTTTGTTTCAATTTGTATAAATAGACACATTTTTGAACTAATGAAAATTGCTTATGTGAACTATAGAAATTCTTGTATCTGTTATCAAGATCTTATAACTTTGTATCTAAGATCTAATTGCAGATCTTGGCACAAAATCATGAAATTATCTTGTACCTAATTTTTCAAAATCTATTCATGTTTCTATACTTTGTATCTTGATCAAGATCTTGCGTACAAGATGATTCCACTAGGAATAGAAATATTTTTGAGTATTTTCACGAGGTTCCAAGGAAGCATACAAAATTCATTTTCGATTTTGATGAAATTTGCAGAGTTTGTGAAGTGTGTAATTCAAAGAATTTTAGTTGACAAATTTCTTGAAAAGATTTTCTTTTAATAGAAATATACCAAAAATACTTAAAGTAGTACAACTTTGACAGTACAGAATTCCTAATATTTTTGAGACAGCTAAAATATTAAGTTAACTTTATTCAATAATATTTCCGCAAATAATCTTAACAGAACGAATTAAATACAAAATATTAGATCAGCCGATTTTATCTGTGAAAAACGCGAGTTGAATCAAGTTTTATGAATTTATTTTATAATCCTTGTTCATTGCTAAAAATGAATATGTTTAGTTTTTTTTTACATTATCTTATGAATGACTGGATGATTAGGGCTCGAAGTTGTCTCATTAGATAGAAAGCAGTATAGCCTGCAAAGTAATTCTACTTCAATGGCCAACATAGACAGTAGGCAGAACGCTTTAATTCAAAAATTGTCGAAAATTCGAAATATGGGTGGTACTTTACTTTTACTTTACAAAATAAAGGTAAATGAATCCTTTACTCTTAAAAAATAAA